AATTTTATAATATTCCATTTGAAAATATTATTTTTTTTATTTCCGACAATGCTTCTTATATGGTAAAAGCATTTAGTATTTTATCTTCCTTAATAACTCAAATGAAATATAATCATTATTTGGCGCATATATTAAATTTAGTGGGTGAAACATGAGTGGGTCACAAAAATTTTAAATTATTAAATGACATAGCAATGCAAATTAAAGCCTCATTTACACATAATAATGCATATAAATGAAGGTGAATTTCCTTTTTAAATTTACAAAATCTTGAAATGCCGTCAACCTTACCTCTATTTTCTGTTAAAACAAGATGGAATTTTTGGTTTAATTTTGTTTTTTGGATTGACAAATATATTCCTCAACTAAAGAATTTTTATTTAAATAAGGAGTTTATTAGTAACGGCAATGAAAGCAAGGCAGTTCAAAAATTAATATCTAGTTTTAAAGATTCTGTACTTGTATCTGAATTTGAAATTTTATCTGCATTTATCACGTTTAATGCATAAAGGTAATATATAATAACAAGTTTTTTTAATTAAAAAAAAGATTACTGTTATGTATCATTATTAATGTTAATATATTTATTTTAATTTTATTTGTATATATTATATATAGCCTTTTTAATATATTGGAATTTTTTAAAATTCGCAACAAATCTGTAGCACCTTCTGTGTCAAATCAATTAATACAACTTGAAGCACAACTTTAATCTAGTACTATTAATTCACCTTTAAATGATAAAATACTAACTATATTTAATACACTACATATAGATTCTTCACAATATATAGTTGGATTTTAGGAGGCATATCAGTTAGCATTAAATAAGTTTAAAAAACATATCGATCAACATCAGATTTTATCTTTATTTAAGGCAATTCAATGTTTTGATCCTTATTATTTTTATTCACAACAAAGTCAACAGAATATTAAGGGTAGGGTGTACATAGATCATTTTTAATATGATTTGAATAGTACATTGCAAAAAATGAACTTTGCTTATAATAAAAGTTTTTT